TACTTGAATACAGAAACTCCTTAGACTCAAGTTAGACTCTTAGACTCTGCTAATTACACGCAAATTGTGTGTTCAGCAAACTTAATCAGGCAGAGAAATATTGAAACAGTGCATGGGGTGAACTCAATCACACAGTAATGCCTCTTAAACTCACTCTTTGCAATCAGAGCTGGGCAATTCCAGGAAAAAAATTATGGACTCTGCGTTGATGTTGAAGGAATGCCACTCGTAACAGCTTCTCAACATGGTTCTTTAAATGCTGTACAATACAAGAATTAATTTCTTGCGCTACATGTGCATGTACACATTTATCCAATACTAATTTACAGTTTAGCATAATAATGACCCTAACTGTAATTTAGAGTAAACATTAAATCACAATTGACCCTATTTCGTTTCTTAATGTGTGTACTTTGTCCTATTGTTTAAGATTTATCAGTGCATGCTATTCTAGAATAAGAAAAAATGCCTTGTGTAACTTGCTCAGCATAGCCTTGTGGCCTATTTGTGTGCTAATTAATAATCCAGTAGCGATTATTTTAAGCTACTATTATAAGTGCCAATAGTTTAATTCTGGTTATTGATTATTTCTTGGATGCAAAATGATTGTGTGTTCTATGAACACTTTGTAAACATGAAACATTTTTGAAATGTGGTTATATCAGCAAATAGGATCTCCATGGAAAGGGAGAAGGGATTCTTCTCAGGTTGGCCTACAGGAGCCTTAGCCAAAATGCCCAGATGCTTATTAAATGCTGCTTTGGCTCATAGGCGGCTGTAAATTGAACATGTGAGCGTAATTCTGAAAGTCTGTTTGTTGTGTTCAAACACAGACAGTCCTTCTGCTACCCTTCCTTATCTGTACACATTCCTGAGATCAGCCCTTTATAGCTGCCCACCCGTCCCGTTCAGTTATGACTATCCCTTTGGTGAAGAGTTCAGAATATTTCTGTTGATGTGTCAGGTAAAATAAAGTTTCAGAACAGAAGTGTTCTATTTTCTGTTAATGTATCAGCAATAGAAGTGAACTACAACTACTATATCTTCTATTTCTTGCCTGTAAGGGGACAGTAAACTTTAAAGAAATATTCTGGGTTCAATGCAAGTTATGTTCAGTTGACAGTACTTACAATGGAAGCGCTGTAAATGGGACCAATTTCTGTCCTTTATTGATTGGCCCCATTCATTTCTATTGTAAGTGCTTTACTGTAACCAGGATTTCACTTTTCTTTTTTTTTAAAGAAAAGAAGAGTCAAGTAGAAATTAAGTGCTGTCAATTGAGGTTAACTTGTATTGAACCTGCAATATTCCTTTAGATGGGCCTGGGGTCATTCCAAGGGCAGCCATACAAAAAGCTAACTTACAAAGAAAGATAATAATACCTACAAAGAAGCAGCAGTCAGGTCACAGTCAGTAAAATTTTTACAGTTCTGGATGTGTCTCAAATTATTTCTCATTTGAAACAGCTGTCAATGTTATCAAAAACTGGAGGCCCCATGTGTGTTGTCTTGTCTTTTGTTCTTTGTGTTTCCACTCCCTGTACCCAATATATGCCTTGTTTCCTAAATGACCTTAAAATAACCTCACCATGTCCCTTGGGATCTGTAAATGGGACCAATTTCTGTCCTTAATTGATTGGCCCCATTCATTTCTATTGTAAGTGCTTTACTGTAACCAGGATTTCACTTTTCTTTCTTTTTTAAAGAAAAGAAGAGTCAAGTAGAAATTAAGTGCTGTCAATTGAGGTTAACTTGTATTGAACCTGCAATATTCCTTTAGATGGGCCTGGGGTCATTCCAAGGGCAGCCATACAAAAAGCTAACTTACAAAGAAAGATAATAATACCTACAAAGAAGCAGCAGTCAGGTCACAGTCAGTAAAATTTTTACAGTTCTGGATGTGTCTCAAATTATTTCTCATTTGAAACAGCTGTCAATGTTATCAAAAACTGGAGGCCCCATGTGTGTTGTCTTGTCTTTTGTTCTTTGTGTTTCCACTCCCTGTACCCAATATATGCCTTGTTTCCTAAATGACCTTAAAATAACCTCACCATGTCCCTTGGGATCGTACTGCTTAAGAGCTAGGCTTCCTTGATAAGGCCATTCGCAAGACTGTGCGACTGAAGCTACGCCAATTATGTCTCCAGTGGTTGTTTGCACCATTATTATCACAGTTTTTCTTCAAATCAATACCAAGATTTAGCCAGCATCAAAAAAATCATACACATGAAGACTACATTTCATCATTTTGGCAACAAAAATGGCTTTTTGAAGAGTTAGTTCACCTGCTGAGAAGAGTGTGACAGGGTGAATCAAGATGCAAGAGGCAGAGGAAGAAATAACTAATGTAAGAGTTTCTCCAGGATCCACAGACAGTTATGTAAGTACCCACAACCTGTCAAAGCCAGAAAATCCCTAAAGAAGCAGCATGGTCTGTGCAGGAGATGAGAAGGGAGGTCTCAAACACCTCAAAATCGGGCAGGAAACTTCACAAGAAAGCTGCAGATCGGTACAGTTGTTCTACAAGTGCTTCAGGCCTCTTTAGCCTAAGCTGTAACGGCCTAGAAGGAAGGAAACAGACATTGATAAGTGATTATAATAGTGAAGCAATCCAAGAATATTACATGGACAAATGGAAACCAAGATCTCTCAATGTCTTTCTTGATCAGCAGACTTGCCCCTTCCGATGGCTTCATAAACCTGTGAAGAACTAATTTGGCCTTTTACATACATTGATTTGCTCAGTGTATTGGAGCATAGCTGTAGGTGACAGCCATATTGTACACTCCCTTCATATTTAGAGCTAAACATCATCATTAGCACCAAGTTACGAGAGTGGGCCTAAAGGATGTTGCTAAGGAACAAAAAAGCTACTTCAGAACGTGCAGTTATTTCTGATTTCCACCTCACAGCTTTTCACACCTCTGAAGAACAATGGCTGAGAATGTGGAGAGGAGACAAGAAGGAGATAATGTGTGATGTTGCCATGGAGTCTTGAATGGAATCACAGTATACTACCATTACCAATGTGAGATGGACGCCATATAAACAAACACCCAATGCTGTGTTTTAAACGTGAGAATGGAAAGCTTTAAAAGCTGACACCGTATGATGGCCTACACAATCTCATTATCTGCTATATCTTGTGCCCTCTGTTGCTTCCCTTCTCTTTCACATCCCCCTCTCTATCTCTCCAGCTTTCTCTATGTCTTATCTCCTTTGCTCTGTTCTTCTTCCTCTCCCAAAGCGAGTAGCATATTGGAAATGTCAACCCCTTTCTGCATTGGTCTTTTGCCTTGGGGCACATTACAGTGTCCAGGTCACACCATCTCACCAGAGAGGCAGAAGAAAGCATTCTAGCATGATTTTATTCTTAGTGAGAGCCAGCTGGAAGAGAGAGAGAGAGAGAGAGAGAGAATGCTCTAGAGCAGTGTTTCCCAACCTTTTTTTAGTCGCGGCACCCTTTGGAAATTTTAACAAACTTGTGGCACCCTACAAAATTAATTGTCACAATATTTGAAATTCTAACTTCGATATGATAATTTGAAAAGTATAGATATTCGGTACAACAGGGAAGAACTGCAGAATATAATGTCATACAGATATTTTTAATATTATTAAAAAATTTTGTCCATCAATGGTGGCAATCAGTAGGCTAATTTCTAATGAAGAGACCAATTTATATGACAGATTTTAATGTAGGTTTTTATAGCTCTCGACAGACGGCACCCCGGTTGGGAAACACTGCTCTAGAGATTGACATTATGTTGATGACAGACAGAAATACAGTTGCTGTGTATAGGGTAGATACTACAATTGGCAGATATTTTTATACAAAGCGACTTTCAGTGCGTTATACTTATAGTGCAACTGAACCCATGATATTTCTGTTGCTAGGACAATTATCTAATGGTTGAGCTAAGGGGATAATATACTGTAATACAGTAAATACTAGTCTCAGACTCAGAAAAGACACTCTGTCTGGCATATAAACCTGAATTCAAGGCTGTTTCAAACTTTCAAACAAGCCAGCATTCAAAAATGATCTTGAAAATTTCAAACCTACACCTAAAAATAATATTTGATTAAAAATAATTCATTGTAATTACTCTTTCTTGCATTCCAATTTTAATTGCAATTCTGCATCCTTTTTTGTCATCTTATATCAAATTCAATACAAATTGAGAAAATTTGATTTTTTTTTATTTCTGTTCAGCTTGTAGAAGATGTGCACTTTATTTTATTTTATTTTATTTTATTTATTATTTTATTTTTGTTTAATGTTTTTTTTTGTTTTTGTTTAAAGGCTTATATGAATCAGTTGGTAGCACAGTAATAGACAAAATAAAATAAAATAAACTTAAAATAAAATAAACAAAACTGTAGTTGACCAGTTATATTTTGGTCAGACAAAAAGTCTCTTCATGGACAACCATGGGTTTTGGCCTAAATAAGCTGAAAAGTGTACAAGAATTCATGGTTATAGTCAGGAGTTACGGTGAAGTGAATATTTGATTTAGATTACTTGTGGGATGTTTTTCATGTCACTCGCGTGAATAAAAAGATGTATTTTCTGGTACAACCGGACGTGTCAATAAGCTCTTCGTAGATTGTGCAACAGCGCATCATGCAAATTTTCCGCTCAAGTAGACATTTTTTAACTTGCGTGAAAGATGCGATGAGACGAATATCACGTGTTCGCAGCAAACGCGTTGCCCGATTTGTGTTATTTGCATTGCACGGCGCAAATTTGCGTCAGTTTGCATCTTTGCATTGACTTTGTATAGAATCTACTCGCGCAAATAATTAAATTCACTTTTGGTGTGCACACCATTAGGGTGTGAGACTAGGTAGCTTCAAAATCTGAAACATCTTCACCTTGGATACAGTAACATTACAGATAATGTGTTAATAATGCAGATATCTACAGTTGCTGTTTCAGTATTCTGCAAAAAGGCATTCCAGGCATCTCACATCATAAGAGCTTGTCTCAATCTACAGGCAATGCGTGGTTGGGCCTGCTGAGCTGAATGTTCCTCACCAAAGGGCAGGCTATCAGCAGGAAATAAACAAGCCAAGGTAAATCTTTTCACAGGCTCTCTCTGGATATATATGGTCATACCGTTCAGAGGGGGACAAGAGACTTGACCACTTCCCCCCAGTAACTGGGTTTTTCTACACTCTGCACTGTGCACAGTGTTTTATGTTCACCTTAGCTGCCTCACAGTGTGCGACGGGCCCCTGTGTCTTTTCTACTCAAAGCCCACCGTGCAATCAACACAAACTGCCTTCCCCAAGCCCCAATTGCTAAGACAGCATGCAGACCCACCTGTAAAGGCCCGCATTTAGAGATGAAAAGAGGACGGCATCCACTCTCTATAATGACCACCAGAATAAGGGTGTACATGAAAGCCTGTGTCACTCGCCCAGGCCCCTGAGTGAAGCTTTTACTGGGCCTAGGATTGCTTTGATCCCTCCCTTGGAGAGGCCAGGGGGAAAATCGCATTAAAAAGGTGAGGGCGGAAATCTGATTGGCTTTGTGTAAAAATCTGTAATGCCAAGCTTCCATTTTGTTGCTGTCGTGCATTGTGTAGGCTTACTGAAGCCCAATGCTGTTGGTGGTAAGAGAGTGCCAGCACACAATGCCTATATGGTGGAGTGCAGAATATTTGATAGAAGTCAACTTGACCTTGTTTCAAATGGATTTCATCTCATTTGTGTCAAGGTGCTCACTGGACTTAAAAAAAATCACTTCTGAAAGTCAAATTGTGTCACTTTTATGTGACAGGAAATGAAGGAGAGATTTGTTTTCTCTGAAAGGGAGAAGAAAATGAGCATATTCACCACTTTGTGATGGAAATGAAAGGCATCCGTGATGTGGCACGTTGGAGCCGTGGCTTAGTGGTTATCATTTAAACATGCACATTGATCTATGGTGAGATCAAGCAGATTATATGGGTTTGAGGATCATTGTGTAGTGTTTATACTGCAACTCTTACAAAAGGACTACTGTATGACTACTGTATTATGGGGATAGTTCACCCAAAATTTTAAATATTGTTAACATTTATTTTTACGAACTAGTCCTAGGTTTTTCGCTCAACCTCAATAAAACCACTGCAGCACAATTCTCTGGATTCTCTATGTAAATAGACTAGTCAAACTACAAATGTAATGAAAACAAGTGTAGTGTAGGTAAGTTCTAAAAGTACTAAAATTACTAAAACTTAAACTGAATTTAAAATAAACCTACACATAAAAATAATGACAAAGCACATAACAAAAATACTAAAATTACTAAAGAAATAAAAGGTAATTCCATATATTAATATGCTATAATAGTATATAAGTAATACTGTAAATACTTTTTCATACTTGTGCACTGTAAGTCATACAGTAGCCAAAATGTCTCATTAGTTGCTGGTAATTTTTCACTCCGGTGAACTGTTAATCATTGAGCCAGTGAGATTTGGTTCAGTTTGATTTGTAAACAGATTATTCAGACTGGCTTCTCTTTAAATCCTCAAATAGCCAGGATATTTAATAAACCTTCACCTTTTGTGTTTGACAAAAGAAAGTCATGTCAATTAGAATGAAGTGATAGTGAGTAAATAAGGACATAATTGTAATTTTTATTGGGTGAACAATTCCTTTAATAATGTAGAGAGGCACTGTACACCCTCTGATGTTGCCATTTTGTGGTAATTGCCATGGGTTTAACCGCATCAGTAAGATTTGCTAGTATAGTCATGGCAATTGTTCTGATCTTGCTGGTCAAGGGCGCTAATGAACAGGTGATACAGATCAAAGTGGCGTGATCAGCTCTTGTCTTCCTTGTATAGCGTTTGATGGTGCCTTTGCTGACACTCCTTGTACTTCGTCACAAGGTTACAAGAGGAGGAACAGATGCATGTATGGATAACACACTAAATCAATGTATTATTTCCTTCTTCCTGTGAGTCATATTCAAGACCTCCTCCCCACTGCTGTTCTCCTCCAATCAGGCAGTGAGGTGGAAAAATGGCACTGCTAGCTCCCAGCTAAGAGCTGCCACTCATGCTATGCATGGGCAGTATGGGTCCATCCTCGTCGTCACCATGGATACCTCCTTACTGCCCCATTTGTAAAAGCTTGCCCACACACAAGCTCGAATGAAATCTAGTAGAAACCCTTTTTGCACACGAGTTTGCATGCACAACCAGTCATTATGCGCACTCACACACATCTGTTTGGCATATGTGCTGAACCAAGAAGACCCCTTATGATCAGTGGACCACTTTACAGTTGCCTTTGAGTCCTTTTCAGATTCAAACCCAATCATTACTCTAGCTGTTTGTTACTTCAACACTGTATGAAAACCATATTAACTTTATTACTCATTTGCATACACAATTCTATACATTTCCAGGCATTTTCTTGTTAATTTATTAAAGATTTTAGATGAATCCCCATAATCATTGCAGAGAGGTACACAGATAACAATATAGAACTGGTGCAGCAGGAGCTGAAATTCTGATCTGTCTGATATTAAACCTGCATTCAGTTCTTTCCATAATCAGACAGGTTTAGACAACTGTACCAAAGGTACATGGGTATACAGTAAAATCTATATACTTGGATATATTGAAGTAAAACTGCTAATCTTAGGGTGTTTTCACACATTGTTTGAAGCATTTGTTTTGGAACCTTGTATATTTTAACCATATTGGTGTTATTTATTTATATATTTATTTTCCAATATTTAACTGTACATGATCATTTCCTTTAATTATACATTTAGATTATTTAGGATTATTTTAAAGATTCTTAGGATCTCACTAATAAGTTAATAGCAATGTTAAATGCAATGCAGTCTTTAGCAAATCAGAATGAACATTCATATTTCAGTACATTATCATGCTGTGATGCCTAAATTAACTTCTATCATTTAAATCTTTTGATTTAAATTTTTAGTGTTATACTTTAAATTTATTTAGGTGAAAGATAATAGAATTTTAATATTGGCCATTCATCTGGAAGTACTGTAAAAATGGAAGTACTGTAACTGGATAAAAAAGTTTGTAGACAAACTTTAAATTGGCTTGAAATAGATAAAACCAGTTTAGCAAAAAAAAAAAAAAAAAGGCTAAAAACCTGCCCAAACTAGTTGAAAGCAGCTGATTTAGCAAAAAACATCTAAAAAGTGTTTTAGTGTTTAGTGTTTTATTTTTTATTTAGCAAAATATTATATAATTTCAATATTGCCCATTCATCCGTTATTGTCCATAAAATGAAAGTACTGTAATTATTGATTTTGGACAGAATTTTAATATTGGTGCATCCTTAGTAGGCATATGTGGACAGTACAATTACACTCAGATCCTCACCAATAACAACTAGACAGGGACCACAACAACATGTGACTTTTAATTACAAATTTTGGTCCATTCTGAAACGTTAGTTGAACCAAAATGAAACACTATAACAATTTAGACCCTATTTTGAAACAATGTTTGCAGGTGCACTTAGTGAGGATCCGTCTTGCAGTGTGGTTATCATTCAGCATGAGAATGAGAATGCTACTTTGTCCTTTTCAGACATAAAATCTAAATGCAGACTCCAAAAAGCTTCAAAAATGCACTGGAAAGAATACAATATTGTGACTTCTTTGCTAATAGCAGTGCATCCTCTGAAGTGCTCCATAGTGCCCCTTACGAAAAAGAAGTTTATTCAAGTGTGCTATTAGTATACTTCTTTTAAACTAAAAAATAGGA